GAGAGTTTTTCTCGAATAACTTTCGAATTCGTCAAGATAGGAACAAACTAAGGGCATCATCGTGATCCTCTCGTCAATCCGCATCGAATGATATATATGTTGACCTCGAAAGGTCAAGGTCAAAGGTTGACCTCAGGTCACGTGACCTCGAGGTCATCATGTATATCATTCGATGCGTCTTGACGAGCTGAACACAATGAGACCATCCACGCGTCTGTATCTTGTTCCTGTACGGAGTTATTGGCCAAAAACCTTTGGTGACCTTTGATGACGTCACATGACCTCACAGCTGCCCAACAGCAAAACAGACCTCAAGGTAGTGAAGGTTGATCGTATATGAAGTCATGTATGGTATATGGGGCCATTCCGACCCGTTTTAGTGGTAAAAACAGGGAGTTGATTTTTCCCCCATTGACTTATAATGGGGAGGTCGCGAAACTGACCTGACCTTAGGTCACCGATATCAAAATTCCGAGATATACAAATTGCACATACTGGTACCGTAACTAAAGCCTGAAGAGAAGAAATTGATCGGTCAAAAACTCTAGCTCTGGCGTGATTGCAAACTTTTCTGAGGTAGGGTCACCAAACCGCCTCTGGTGACCTGACCTGAGGTCAGATCAACTCAAAATTTTCAGACATGTTGCGTAGAAGCCTTTTAGGAAAAGTCAGAAAATTTGAGCTTCCTAGCTCAACGCGTTTGGGAGAAATAACCAAAAAACCTCAGGGGGGGGGGGCTCCTGAGGCCCCCCCCCCGCCAGGAATAGGGTTAAAGTCCCATGAGTCACTCTCCTGTCGGGGCCTTGGGGCGGGTCCATCCAACGATCTTGTCACATTAAGGAGCATCACTACCCGAGGAATGCATGTGTGTTCTGGTCAGACCTCATCGCAGCTCATCACGCGAGGAGCACTGGACCTGCTGGATAGAACACACGTGCTGTTTGTGAGCCGCGAAGAGAATCCTCTCGGCGTGCCTCAACCGCGGGAAAATTGGGAATTTCGGGGCCTTGTGAAGCAAATATAGTGCTAAGGAAGATGATGCATGTAAATTTGCGTCTATTTGAGGTCTAGGCCAGGCACCATCTATCCGCTACCTCACATGGACCCGAAGGTGCCACGCAAGTTCATGATGAGTGTACCTCGAGCACGTGGGCTTCAAACCGCCTGGGCCTTTCACTTGCAGCAACTGTTAACCCGCGCCCCGTAGGGGGGTGCACAGTGATGCAAATGGGGTTCACGAGTGGCCATAAATACCGAAAAGGTCCAAATTTTAAGTTTACCTAATCGAATAAATCGTAATATGGCAAGTCAGTTTGGGGTGTCTGAAAAAAACATGATTTTTATGTTTTTGCCGAAACCGGCCTCGTGCATGATTGTCAGAAGTCGTGACATTTTCTATGTCGTAAAATGACTGTCAGATACTCGCAACTTCAAACGCCGCTAGCGTGCGTTCATTTCATACAAATGACAAAAATTATACATGGCAATGATCCCCAAAGTCTGCTGCTTCTAATGCAGGGTCACAAAAAGCCGTATCTTTTTTGGTTTGGCGTTGATCTGACTATTTGTCATCATGTTGCATTCGCAGTTTTTTATTTTAAAATATTTGCTTTCGTTTCACCAACAGCAGTTTACACAGTGTGTGCCCGTTGGTGCACCATACCATAGCATTTCCTAATAATTTCTGAGCCGCACTGTGAAAGGATGAAGACGCTAGCACTGGGCTGACCGGCGCTACTAAAGTTTTCGTCCGTTGCGGTCGGGTGCCGTGGCGCGGTGGGCGGCCCGGGCGGCCGCGCCGCGGGCGGGCGGCCACAGCGGGGGTTCGTCGGTGCATCCCTCTGCTGTTTCTAAGCGAAGTGGCCTAGCGCCTCGCGACAAAAACCAACGGATTGCTCTTGACAAGATCTCGCGAGTGAGCATATTACTTTTGACTTAAGGTCAATATTTGACCTACTTATAGCAGGCCAAAGAAAAACTTCTGTCGAAATTGCAATCCGCGGTGAAAGCAATCCGCCCCGACCGCGAAACCCGATCGCGCCGAACAAAAACCTCCATAGCGCCGGTCTGCCCTGTGCTAGCGCCTTAATTCTTTCACGATGTGGCTCAGAAATGGTTAGGGAATGCTATGGTATGGTGCACTAACGGGCACACACTGTGGAAACTGCTGTAGGTGAAACGAAAGCAAATTTTTTTAGCAAAAAACTGCGATTGCAGCATGATGGCAAATGATTAGATCACCGCCAAACCAAAAAAGATGCGGCTTTTTTTGACCCGGCATGAGAAGCAGCAGGCTTTAGGGATCATTGCCATGGATAATTTTTGCAGTTTGTATTAACCCTCGCCGGCACAGGCCATTTTGCGTCCTTCGACGGCACAAGGGGGGGGGGGGGGTTGGTACGACCCCCCCCCCCTCCCAGCCAGCAATTTCACTCCGGGCCCAAGCAGGCTAAAGTACGGCTTGCCCGAGATTTTAGTCGGGCTAAAGTCGGCTATGAATGATATGCAAATGAAATTCAAGTACACATTTTCCAAGTTCTACTTTATATTCTGAATCATCCGCAGTTTCCCGTTCTCGTCACACTCATTTAATTAACACTTGTGCACACGCGATTTTGTTATGCATGTTCTCCCGACATGCTGATTGTTAATAACAACCACGAAAGAGTTGGTGAGGATCCTTCATGCCCTCCCCCCAACGCGACCACAGACATGGGTATGTGGTCGAAAATGTCACCATCTGAATGATGAGGAGCAGGCAGATATCTCTGTGTATGACTGCCCACGTGGAGTCATGGACAGGCGCCTAGTAGGCTAGCCATATAGCGATTTACTCGGTTTGGTACTAAACTTGACTTTTTGGTATTTATGGCCACTCGTGAACCCCATTTGCATCACCGTGGGGTGGCCGAAACGGCTCCCCTTGTCCTTTTCCGTCAATATCTCCTAAACGGCTGCAGATTTTGCCACCAAACTTTCAGGACCCCTCCGGGTAACAATTTTACACATTGTGACCAAAAAATTTCTGGAGGCTATGATAGGTTGGCCACAAATGACGTCAGAATGACGTCATGTCCTGCCATTTTCGACCGAAAAAAGAGCTTCGCGAGAAGGGATGTCAAACCTACAGCTTTGAAGATACAGAAAAATGATCAAGACATAAAAGGTGTAGAATTGACAGGGTTACAAAACTGCTATCTCGAATTTTTGGATTTTTTTAATTTTGACCCCCAAAAATCAAAAAATTAATTTTTAGGATATATTAGCAAAAAAATCCAAAAAGTTTTTTGAGTTTCGAAAAAAAAAACAAAATATGTGATTGTGCCGTCTTCTATCTATATACCAAATTTCAGATCGATATCTCTTTTTGGCCAAGTTAAAGCGAAAAAAAAAATTGTTCAAAAATGATGACGTAAAATTTCCAAACTCAATTTTTGGCAATTCTAGACCACGTAGGGCAAAACAAAGACCACCATTAGACCACCCCGTGACAAGCTGCATCGAATCGAGCCCCAGTTTATGCAAAAATATCAACTTGGAAATTTTATCTAATTTGACCTGACCTTAACCTGACCTTCACCAAAACGTAACCTAAGCTGGCCCCAAAAGGCTGCCTGACCCACATAATCGCAATGGTCATGTAAAATGCACCATAAAACATGTATCACACGACACTTTCATATTGTGACCCCCAGTGACCTGACCTCTGTGACCTGACCTGGTATTAGTGACCTCTGGTAGCAAAGTATGTCTTTGACGAACAATTTACCATCGATGATTTGCAATAACTTACCAATTTACTCGATATCACAGCACATTTCTTGAAATGCCTGTGAACGGTGAAAATCCGACCTTTGACCTGACCTGTAACGTCATCGGTTTGACCTAGGTCAATGAAATTCGGTCACAAGGTAGTGCCCCGGTGGGGCTATCGAACTCCGTTTGAATTTTGAAAATCGGCCGGTAAATTTCCGAGATCTTAGGGGGGCCGAAACGCCCCCCCCCCCTTCGGGTGGTAGGGTCCGCCGATAGCCCTACGGGGCGTGGGTTAACCCTCGCCCGTAAACGGCGATCTGCCACCTTCGCCCATGCAGGGGGGGGGTTGGTGCGACCCCCCCCCCCTTGGCGTTTGAAAACGGAGCGTCGTAGAGCTTAGCGGAAAAGACCAACTGATTGCTCTCGCCGAGATCTCGCGATTGGTGGTATATTTTTTGGTCCTAGGTCAACATTTGACCTACTTTTGACCGGTCAAAGGTCAAATTTTCGGAAAAATAGACTTTTTTCAACTTTCGGCGGCGATTGCGGCAAAACGGTGGGAGATATCGACTTGAAACCTTCACTATCGTGTTCCTCGATCAATTCTCTATCGTTTGGTATGTATTTCGTTTCCCTAGCTCTAAAAATGGCGCGTTGGGAGCGCCGGAAGTCGGCAAGGTCACAGTCGGCGGCAGAAATTCGAAAAATCAAAATTTAAATTTTTGAAATCTGATTGTATTTTTGGATTTGGGAGGTCCATTTGCTCCCTATAGAAGCTAATATTGCTGCATATTCCCATTGAGGTGACAAGAATTAGCAAAATAGTGGTTCGGGCGCTTTTCAAAAATAGTACCGGACGCTGTTCCTCTTGTGACGTCATAGCTCCGTGACCTGACCTGACCCGGTCAAGTTTCTTATACCATATGATAGCCAATACTTGCCCCAACACGCATGGGAAGTTTCATCACGATCCATCAACCGATGTCCGTACCACCGGCAGGAAACCTCGGGCGTTGGCACTCAGTTTGTGAAAATCCGGCCGGAGGCTGTTCCCTTTGTGACGTCATAACTCCGTGACCTGACATGACCCGGTCAATTTTTTTTATCAAAAGATGCGCAAGGTTTGCCCCATAAGGTCCCCAAAATTTGGCGGCGCTGCGCGCCGCCGTTTTTGCACTATTTCCGAAAAGCCTCAGAGGGGGGGTGGCACCAACCCCCCCCCCCCCCTACATGGGCGAGGGTTAACTATTGTTGCACCATATATGTGTGCCAACTTTCAGTCATATCTTAATTCATAAACCAATGTTATGGGGGCACGAGTTTGGTCCAGGAACAAAGTGCACGCCAGTTCGTTACTGCTTCACCAATTGGCGATGATACAATGCCAACCTAACTCTGCCTGTATCTGTTTTCAGACATCAAAGTGTGGCAGCTGTCAATATGTCGGCTAAGCTATGGTGTGTCGTTTGTCAAGACACGCGCTCACTGCTGTGGATGGCCTCGGATTTGGTGTTGCCCGCATCTCAGCTGACCGTGATGGAGAGACTGGGAGGTCTGCACCTCAAGCTGCAGCCTCTGAGTATACTGTGCAATTCCTGCTATTCTCTGGTGGAACTTTGGGACAAACAAATATCTGCTGCCACTGAAACTGAGCAAGCTCTCAAAGGTCTCATTACTTATGCCAGGGAATGTTTGGTGAGTGCTTTTATTTTTCATCAGACTAGATTTATTTTGTGTCACTTGAACTAAACAGGAACTTATCACTAAATGAAATCCAAATAGCTTCAATTTCTGTTAAGATAATCCTTATTAGCTCAAATTTATAGCTTTAGGTCTTTACTGTATTGAGTGCCAATGTCTTGAACGGAATCACGAATGCTAATGAAATGCCCTTCCATCCTACATTCCTGTTAAACAGACTTGCTGGCTCTTCCCAGGACGAAGATGCTGAAAAGAAAGATGAATCTGTATTGATCAGAGAGCATAATGAAGATGATAGCTGTGGGCCAGCTTCCTTGTCTTGTGCATTCGGTGTGGAAAAGGTGAAACCAGCCAAAGGGAGCTCTGACCTCTTGGTGGCAGGGGAAAGAACTGTGGCAGGCTCGCTCGTTACTGATTCCGACAGGTCCCATGCTGAGCCGCCAGGACGAAGGCTTTCTTCAGACTGTGATGCAGCAGGAACTGACCTGCCTGTTTCCGCGGAGGCTGATGTGACTGATCCAGGTGGGGTAGAGGTCTGTGGACCTGCCCCCGCAGCAGTGCCAGTGACCAGTGCCAGCGTTCTGGAGGTGCAGTCATCTGATGCTGTTGAAGGACTTACAACACCTTTTGATGCGAGCGATTTGATCGGAGAGCCAGAGAGGGGTGGGGCGGCGACAGACCGGAGTCCGTCTGATGTCGCAGATGATGCTGCCGCCTCTAGTCGGCATGTGGACGGTGTTTCACCCGCCGCCGACCCGACCCCGCCCTCAGAGACCCGCAAAGCCTCCCGGCACCGCTGTGATATTTGCGGCAAGGGGTTCGCGCGCGGCGGCTCGCTCGCCGACCACCTGGCGGCGCACGCCGGAACTAAGGGCTACGCGTGCGCCGAGTGTGGTGAGTCGTTTCAGTACCGAGACGGTCTCCTGGTGCACCGGCGGCGACACCACGGTGGCGGCCGGCTCAACTGTCCGCACTGCTCGCAACGCTTCGAGAAGAGCTGCAACCTGCGCCGCCACCTGCGCGTGCATACGGGCGAGCGGCCGTTCGGCTGCACCTTCTGTCCCAAACGGTTCGCGCAGAGCAACGGCCTGAAGAAGCACGTGCGTAGCCTGCATGGGGATCGCGTCTCGGCGAAACCTAGCTAACGTCTATTCTTTTATACCAGGCAGTATTTACAGTCTTTCTTCGAGCTTATCGGATCTTTTTTTTTGTGTCGCGTGGTGTATTTCACTGTCGTGTTCGATGTGTTACCCTATGATCTGATTGTCATGTTCAAACAGTGGTTTAGTCGGTCGCAGATTACTTGTGGTTGGCTGTGGCAACCTGCCCTCTCGTGTTTTTTTTTTTTTTTTATTCATGCTACGCCGGTATCCGGCGTTTCGGCGTTATGCACTGCTCGTAACGCAGTAATGCGTCCTGTGAACTGCCCAGATACTCGGGCGATCTCGACTTGATGATGGCTTCAGTTTCTTGATCGTTCAGCGACTTCTGTGTGATTGATCAAGAAATAACTTGATCTGTGTTGTTCCGAGCCTGCTATTTGCGATGCACGTGCAAGGCACGACCCATTTTTGACATCCAGCGTTCTGAATCTACGTGATATATTTTATATAGCGCATGCAATTTGACGGCACTGTTGTTACGCAGTTATAATATAGTTATGTACATTTTTTGCTGTTTGTATTATTAGCTGCCCTAAAAGCTTTGCTGTTTCAGTGATACCGTTGTTCACTTATGTATATATATTGCGAACTCAGACACGCTCAGATTTCTCAAAGTTTTGCACAGTTCTCTAGGTAGATGTAACCGACCAAGAAAAAAAGATATGTCATTGTGTCGCTAGTCCATTGCCTCGGCTCGAAACGGGTCTTAGAACTGGCTAAACTTTAAACAATACATCTTGTATTGAGGAGCACCACGCATGCCGATGACGCTCAAAGATAACACAACGCACCCGTAGTTCATACATCAACACTTAAAAGTGAGTCTCGTGCGCTACGGGCGCAGAAATGCGCTTGGCTCTTATCAAATAAAATATATAAAATGGGATATGATATTCCTGATTCATGAACACCTTAAATCAGTAGGTATAGTAAGCGATTGCCACATTTTTTCAGTTCAATAAAACTCCGACTTAAAAGCTGAAACGAGCGACAATTTTCCGTTCATTACCACATCCTGTGGCGTTGACCCGCAGTTCGTGAATCCACGTCTCCACTTGTTCCATCACCTGCGGCACAGCACCACGGCGAGCTCTGTATGCAGGTGGCGATGGGGCCTCCCGAGACTGGCGTGACACAGGTACAGGCCGGCGTCGGAGGACGTGACGTCAGACACCGTCAGCCGCTGGTAACCCTCGCCCGCCTGTCAACACACGGCGCACCGAGCAGGTAGGGTTCATACACAGAAACATTCACAAACGACACACAGCTCACACAGACGGCGTGGTGCAACACTTAGTTTCCGTTTCCGCCAATAGAAGACCGGTTCCCGAACGCCTGACGTAAAGCTGTGGATTCGTGTCAATTCCCGTTAATAGATGGCGCTGCTGGTTGGCGCCTGGAATGATGCTGTGCCGCAAGACGCGCCTTAGTGTCAGTTTCCATCAATAGATGGTGCCAGCAGTCGGCGCCTTATGTCATGCTGTGCCGCCAGGCATCAGTTCTTTTCGGTTGCTGTCAATAGATGGCGCTAGTAGTGAACATCTGAAGGTATGCTGCGCCGTAAGGCGTATTCTAGTGTTAGTTTCTGTCAATAGATGGCACTAGTATGAACGCCTGAAGGCATGCTGTGCCGCAAGGCACGCTTCCTATACGGTTCAGCAGTGGGACGGGCGAAACTCTCATAACGCCAGGTCAAGGTGGCGAAATATCTGGATGACTCACAATGTTGCAACAGAGCATGAGCAATGAGCATTGCCATTGACCAATAACCGTGACAACTGACAATTGCAGTGTTACTGACAAACAGGATTTACAGATATCAGAATATATGCAAAGAAGCCGCACTCAATGCATATATCTGTGGGAAATGTTACTTTATGTAAAATTACGGTAATTGGCTCATCTTGCCGATATCGAACAAACGGCCTGTCGCAGTCGACCACTCCTTACCGTCTCGATGTGAAATTTGTCCTGTCTGAAGGGCCTTCCGTCCACGGCGATCAGTTCGTCTCCCATCAGTCCGTTGTGACGATCGAAGAGGCGCTTACCCCACCGGAATCTCTGAGAACGGAAACAGGGTCGACATTTGGTGATGTACCTAACACATTCAGAGGCGAGTGGTGCCTGTATAAGCGATGCGCACATGTTTACTTAGCATATTCCTGATTGTTTAATCCCAGTCGGACTCAATTGAATGACAAAACGGATGTGATCTGCGTTGCTGACAGGAACTGTTGGGCAATGAATGACGTTGAACAGCCTTTGTCTAGTGTTGGTCAGCGTCGAGTTAGTCGTACACGGTAACCAGCTCACTGAGACGGATAAATCTCATCCCGCGTGTCTTACCTGAACCGTACCGATGTCCTCCGTCCGTCCGTCCACTCGGCACGCCAGGGTGAGGTTGCCGCCCAGCTTGGGGCAGCTGAGCAGCTCGAGCTCCAACCGAACCTCCTCTGACGGTGCATCTGTCCGATAGCGATCGATGGTGTGTTATTGTCTCGCTCAATTAGCAAACCGACGTTAAAAAATTGCAAGCGATCAGTTCGTGTAGGGTGCGATATTCATATACGTTTAAAAATATTCGTTAAAAATATTCATCACTCATTTTTTTCGCAATGCAGGTATCGCTTGCACGAAGCCTTTACATTTTTTTCGGGTTAATTTACATGAAATGTGTGAGCTCGGCTGAGTTTAGCCGCCTTTTCATCCTAACATGTTTCTAACGCCTCTTTATCACACGATGGAAATTTATTCTTTATTCTTCGACGCAAAAAAGAAGTTCCATCTGGCTGTATCTAACAGCTTATCAGACAATTCGATGCTTCCTCGAGTATACCTCACCTTCGATGCTATTTGCTTTCTGCAGCTCAGCCGTCCCATCCAGAGATGCGATATTAATCAAAAGTCTGGCGGAATGAAGATCGTCACTTGACTGTTCCAATTTCCGGGGTCCAAGGGGTCCTTGGCCTTCACTCGGCCCATTGGTGCTTCCTGCGATCTTAATCAGAAGACCGGCGGGAAAAGGATCGTCACTGAGCTGTTCAAGTTTCCGGGGTCCGCGTACCCCTCCACTCTGCTCATTGGTGGTTACTGCGATGACGTCATTATCATAGTAAACGGACGGTGACGTCATCGATATTGTATCGGCCTGTGGGGTCACTGACGGAGTAGCTGTCAATCGGTTTGGTGTTGGTTGGATGTTGTTTTCTTTTACGCTCGTCACAGGAAAGGTGCGTGTATTCAGCAGTGCCGGAAGTTTGTTCGTTTGTAGCGTTAATGGGGCAGAATCAATCACAACCTCTGTAAAGTGATTATTGTTTACGTCGTCATTTGCATTTAACACTGTCTTCTCTCCTCTTCCTTCTCTTGATATGTGCCCACCAAAGACGGCACCACCACCAGCTAGCGGTGAAGTCTCTGCAGCATTCGGTGCCACTTCACTCTCAATCGGATGCGTAATTTCCTCTGCAGCACCCACTAGTCTACCATAGCTCTGAGGTTGATTGCTGCCTGGGTCTAAAGGAAGGTCTGGGAGACCCCTCAGGCTCACAGAGGGAACTTCAACGACCGGCTGTACGACCGGGTGGACCGGGACAGGTCGCCGATTGGTCGGTGACTCCGGCTGGACATCGGTGACCTCCAAACGTGCCAGCACCGGCGGTCGTCGGCTGGGGGTCACTGGTGCCGGCGGAACTCCGCTCGACCCCCCGTCTCTCAGTGGAGCCACCCGTTCATCGTCCAGCCGCGACGGCCGTGGCTGTGGAGCCGCCGCCTGTATACGTGCTGGAGTACCGACCGGCAGCAGACGGGGGCTGCGTGACTGATCTCTACTAGGGCTGCGCCAAATCCAGAGGGCCGACTCTGAGCCGCCTGACGCAGGCCCGCGCTCAGAGCCGGGGAACAAGACACGGCCAGCGCCTGATACTCCTACAGACATCACCACAGTCACCAGCACCATCACCAGCACCATCGCCGTCACTGTCACCAGCGCCGGCCGAGGGGATGACGGCCGCCTACGGGCGAACCGCAGACAATTACTGCCGGCGACTGTCATCTCCTGCAGATGGGGGCAGACGGGGGCTGCCTGGTGGGTCTGGAGGGCTGGGTGACCGGTGGGGCCGGCACTCGGCAGTCTCCTATTGTAGATTGTTCCTCCTTCCGAGAGTAGACTATGGTGAGATTTCCGAGCCTGACATGGAGAAGAAGACAGCTATTATTTTCATTCACTTTTACTGATACTATAGTAAAACAATTGTTATAGGATGAAGCAGACGATTTAACCCGCGCCCTGGTGGGGGGGGGCTATTTTTTGCCCCCCCCCTCCAGACTTTTCGATATATCTCCAGAACTGCTGCGCTGATCGTCACCAAACTTTCAGTACCCTCCCGGACATCAATTTTACACATTGTGACCAAAATTTTTTCCAAAGGCTAAGATAGGTTGGCCAGAAATGACGTCAGAGTGACGTCATGTTCTGCCGTTTTCGACCCAAAAAAGGGTTTCGCGGGAAGAGCTGTCAGGCCTATAGCTTTGCAAATACAGAAAAACGATAAAGACATAAAAGCTGTAGAATTGATAGGACTACAAAACTGCCATCTCGGATTTTGAAATTTTTGGATTTTGACCGCAAAAAAAAAATTAAAAAATAGATTTTTTGAATATAATAGCCGAAAAATCCAAAAAGTTTTTTTTGAATTTCGCAAAACCGGAACATATGTGATAGTTCTTGCCGCCTTCTATCCACATACCAATTTTCAGATTGATACCTCTTTTTTGGCGAAGTTATAGCGAAAAAACTGTTCAAAATTGATGACGTCAAATTTTCAAACTCACTTTTTAGCAATTCTAGAACCCGTAGCGCAAAACAAAGACCACCATTAGACTCCCCGTGACGAGCTGCATCGAATCAATACCCATTTTATGCAAAACTATCAACTTTAAAATTTGACCTTTTTTGACCTGACCTTGACCTGACCTTCACCAGAAAATGACCTAAGCCGTACCTAATAGTCTTATAACCAACACCATTGAGTTGGAAATGAAAAATTGGCCATAAAACATGCATCGCACAACCATAGTACCTAAAGTTAGGTTCATGTGACCTGACCTGTGACCCTTGGTGACCTGACCTGTGACCTGACCTGGTATTGTCAGTGACCTCTTATAGCAACATATGTACTAGGCACCTCATGACGCCCTATCGCTGATTCTCGACAAAATGCGTTTTCTTCGGTGTTATAGCGCATTCCCTAGAAGACCCTTGAACGGTGAAACATTTCATCTTTGACCTGACCTGTGACGTCATCGGTGACCCTGAAGTCAATGAAATTTGGTTTCCCTAGACAAATTTGACAGGGCTATCGAAAGCCGTTTGAATTTTGCGGATCCGTCAAGTAGTTTCGGAGATACGAGGGGGGGCAAAAATAGCCCCCCCCCCCCCCACCAGGTCGCGTTATAAACAGACCCCACCAGGGCGCGGGTTAAAGGAAAGCTATTAAGATCTAATT